CATTCAGGTAGATTCCAGGAGGCTTTGAATGATGGTTGTTCTGTAATTTAGTTGTAATTTTCATGTGGTTTTGGAAGGATTCAAGTACTGCATTTACCTACACCACCATCTTAACTGAAAACATCATCATGACTTCTTTAAACATTTTTTAGCTGAATAGGAGTAAAGAATTGATGTTCACTCAATTGAAGGAAAAGAGATTATATTATTTTTATTGAGAGCCCCCATGTTAAAGGAAAAAGAATAGTTATTATAGAAAAGCTTTGTATCCCAGGGGAAATGTCATTTTAAAGATTATGAGCCTGCTGTCTATAAGTTATGAGCCAGAGGCAGTGAGTGAAGTTTTGATTGATCTGCTCATTACTCGGTTGACCCTACTTGCTAGCCTTGACAGCATGTAGAAAGATCTGCAGTGCTAATGCTACTTCAAGTAGAAAATATGGATGTGGATTCTCAACAAGACTCTTTGAAGTGCTCCAGGTATACAGGAAGGGCTGTGCATAGGTGATGCGATAAAAACTTACAGTTTAAATTTATAGTTTAAATTCTGTGTCTCTAAGTGGCTTCATTCTTCCCTTGCCCTTTGGAGAATTTCAGGCCAATGGGTATGCAAATAAACCCAACCAAGATGGCTACCAGAAGGGAGGGTTGGGTTTCCCTGGCAACGGGTCTAAACTGGCAGTCGGACATCCCCCCAGATTGGAGAGGGTGCAAGCTTGGCTGAGGGACTTTCCCCCCACCCCCTTGCATGAATTCCATGCACCAGGCCTCTAGTCTTATAATAAACAATTTAAATTTGAGGCTAACTCAAGGGCTATAAATGTCTTAATACCATTAATATATACTTTATATACTTTATATAAAATTCAATTTGTTAATATGATTAATAAATACATAATGTAAAATATGTCCAGCATGTACCAGATAGAGATGAGCAATTAATGCTGATGTGACAATAAATATCACGATTTCAAAGAAAAATGATTACTATTTGGATGCGTGACTGGGTCCTGGGCCAGACTTTCAATGAAGCCATCATTGGTATTTCTTTTGGTATATCCCAGTTCATATTTTTCATGAATAGTGACTAATAAGTAACATTTATGAACAAATAGACCACTGTATTAGATTATCTAAAGGAAATGTACCTTCTTTTGTCTTTTTGCCTTACATAATACTTTACCCAGAGGTGCAGGTTAAGGCGAGGCTCTGTCCTTATAGAACAATGCATGGAGATCCCACTACTATTGGACCTAATTCTACTTCCTTGATACTGAGGGCACTGGGCCTCTGTTTCAGTGGAATTGCTTTCCTTGCCTAAAAACCAGGCATTTGACAGCTGTTTCACTGCCTCCCCCCAGCTTGTGTGGGAAACATAAGAACACGTATTCAAAGCTTTCTGCGACCAGCAAGCCTGATGTCTAGGCCAGAGGGCACCAGCTGCATCCTCCGAGTGCCCCAGCCCAAACATGAAGGCCTTTGCAGTTCTCCCTGAGCCTCCACTCTGGGGTGCTGATACCCCAAGAATCCTCTGGACACCGCACTCTGCCTTTCCTACTCCCGGTCAGGTCCTCAGACCCCCTGGTTAGGAATTCAACTCAGACATTCTGGCAAATAGAATGAGTTAGTCTCTGCACATCTTTACATAAACCCAAGCAAGGAAACCTCTGGAAGTCTGTAGCAGGTTGTTCTCTGTAATAGATGGAGAATCAAGCCCGCTACTCCCACATTTCATATATTTCGTGTAGTGCTCAGTTAAGATATATGAAGTTACAGTTTTTGGCTTTTGATAACCATATGTCTTTCTCTGTGTGCTAGACATGGTATACAGAACTCATTTCCAGCATGTGGCTCCAATAATTATAACCCTAGACTCTGGAATAACACATTCTCTTTCCTCTGATATAGAAAGGAGGCTCCAACTTGGCCATATTCCTCCCAATTAGTTATATAAGTGTGGTTATTATTTCAGCCCAAATTTCCTGTATAAAATATAGAAATTATTCGATGAGAGGCTTTGATAGATGCTGTTTAATTAAACTTACTCAAGAGTGATTATATGAATATATGAGAGATCCATTTCCCTTGTCCCTCATTTTCTCGCCTTGAAATCCCAGGCCCCAGCTCAAGGGCTTCCCCGCCGTTTTTGGTTTTAGCTGGCTGTCCCTATTCCTAGCTAACTCTCCTTTAATTCTGCTCTATGTGCATAAATAATAATGAAAACTGTTATTTAATAAAAGCCAAGCGTTAAGCTAAATGCACTTAACATATGTAAACTCATTGAATCTTCATACAGTTTCATGAGATGATGATGTTGATGATGATATCACTTCTATGAAAAAAGAAATTGAGGCTAAAAAGGGATAACTTTTTGCCCAAAATAACATAACCATTAAAATGGCAGAGTGGCCGAAACTGGTTTGGCTCAGTGGTAGAGCGTCGGTCTGCGGACTGAAAGGTCCCAGGTTCGATTTCGGTAAAGGGCATGTACATTGGTTGTGGGCACATCCCCAGTGTGGGGTGTACAAGAGGCAGCTGGTCGATGTTTCTCTCTCATCGACATTTCTAGCACTCTATCTCTCTCCCTTCCTCTCTGTAAAAAATCAATAAAATATATTTTTTTTAAAAATGGCAGAGCGGGGATTCAAGCTTATATCCACCTTATTCAAACTTAAGCCCTTAAACACTAAATTTAATTTTTCTCTGGGAGCCAAAACATTTAGCATTTTATAATTTCCAAAATAAATGTATATATATGTAAAGGGGATATATGTATGTAAAGGGGGGAAAGTATATAATTTATACATATGTAAAATTTTATATATTAAAATTATAATTTATGTATACTATATACATATAATTTATGTATGCTTATATAACATACTATATATGTTATATAAGCATATATATTATATGTTACTATGTATTATATATATGTGTGTGTGTGTGTGTGTGTGTGTGTGTGTGTGATGCTGTTCCACAACAAATTTGTTATCCCCAAAAAGCTCACCACCCCACTTTACCCTCAATGAATGCATCAATTCTGTAAGTGACAGCTCTTCTTCCTTTAATTCAATTAATCTGTAAACCTTAGTTCCTTCCTCTCCCAAATATACCCTGGATTCAATCTTCCCTTTTTATTCTTCCTGTCATTAATTTATTCGTCATTAATTTATTGATATCAATTTACTGAATTCCTTCTATATGCTATGCAGAGTCTGGAACCCAAGAATAACATCTTTGTTCTTGAGTAGTGTACTAGAAAAGAAAGAAATACAATGCCATCAAGGGTGGAAGGAGCATCAGTAGAAATCATACCCAACACACAAGAAGCCCTGAGGAGGAAGTGAGCAGACCACGGGGGTGGGGGTAGGGAGGAGTTAGGGAGCTCCCCAGAGTTGGCAGCATAGAAGCCGAGTCCTGAAGGATGAGGTGGACAAGACTGAGTGAAGGCAGTGAAGGAGGGAGGATGGGCCATGCATGGGAGACCACATGGGGGCTTGGAACAAGTGCATGAGATCCCACCACTTTCTTCTTAGATTATTGAGGTAGCCACCAGCAGGTCTCAATTCTCCCCCTTAAGCAAGTGCATGTGAGCACTGCTGATAAGTCCTTAAAAATTATCATAATATACAAAATATAAATAGCACAATGTGTATGCAGTATAGACATATATATTTAAACTGAGATATACTAGTATGTGTGTATGCATGCATAGCTATGTGTTTGTGTGTGCACACGCATGCATGGGCCAGTTTATTATTATTTTAAAATATATTGTTATTGATTTCAGAGAGGAAGGGAGAGATAGAAACATCAATGATGAGAGAGAATCATTGACCGGCTGCCTCGTGCATGCCCCACACTGGGGATCAAGCCTGCAACCCAGGCATGTGCCCTGACTAGAATTGAACCATGACCTACTGGTTCATAGATTAATCTTCAACCACTGAGTCACCCGTGGGCCCATTTAAATTGTGGCTCATCTTTTAGTCTGCCTGACCATCAACAATCTAGGCACATCGGGATTTGTTTGTTTGTCTTGGTTTTCCAACTCAGTTCAAGGTGACTTCTCTTTCAATTCATTCATATCTTGTTTAAACAGACCCCAAGTTTCTCCCTCTCCCTTCTTCCCTATGACCATGTCTAATCTCCATCAGCTCTTTCCCTGACTCTATAAATAAACAAACTAATGCAGGTTTCATTGACCCTTCCCAGGGGATTGCTCAGCCCAAACTAGTTACTTCCAAGAGGAACTGAAGCAAATTTTCAAGAAAAATATCAACTTCAGTATGAATTATCCCAATTTTGTAATAGTGGTAACTATATATTTTTAAACACTCTATGAACCTCTCTGTGCCACACACACACACACACACACACACACACACACACACACACACACACACGATAAATAAATAAATAAATAAATAAATAAATAAGATGCCTACTAGGCAGCCAAACTGCAACTTACATTCTGGACTCCTACGGGGTCCATGGGTGAGTGTTGGGGAATTATAAACCTGTTTTTCAAACTGCGGCTAACCCAGTGATGCTGCTGTGAAACTGAAGGCATAGTAATGTGAATTTTCAATGGCTCAGAACAGAGTACTTTATGGTATAATCACTGGAAAGAAACATATGAGTGAAACACAAGAGTAAGGGTGTTGCTTTGACAAAGGTCATACTTATGTAACCATTTGCACCAAGTGACATGAAAGGTGTATTTCTCTCTAAGAAACGTGGAAGGAAAATCTATGTGAAAGTCAGGTTTTGTTCCTCCCTCCCCGCCCCCCAGTGGCTTCAATGTCCCGCCAACTCTGGCTCAACAAGAACCCCGGGGCAGGCGCGGGCCTCCACCCACCAGAGGGCGCTCCACAGAATCCGTTCGCCAAGTGTAGCACGGCGCACGCGCCCGGAAGCATTTCCACCCGGGACACATTTTCGCCAGCGTTTCCTGTGACGTATATCCTGTTGGCCGCGCGGCTCTCGTGCGCACGGAGCGGAAGTAACGTCCCCGGGAGAGTTCAGAAGCCGGGCTGTGGCGCCGCTGGGAAGCGTCTGGCCAGCATGGCTCACCTGCCCATGAAGCTCCTGCGCAGGAAGATCGAGAAGCGGAACCTCAAGCTGCGGCAGAGGAACCTCAAGCTGCAGGGTGAGCTGCGCCAGCCCCCGCGCGTCCCGGCGCCCGGCGTGTCCCGGCCCCGGCGGCGCGGGCAGCACGTGTGCTTGCTGAGGGCGGAAGGCAGCCTGGGCGGCCTCGCGCGGGGACCCGAGCCGGCGCCCCTCGCCCGCGGCCTCACACCTGCCCTGACACTCCGGCCATTGGCTTCTCCTCGCCGACTTACAGCAGGAGGCGGGCCTCTTGGCTCTCCCTCCAGGCCTCCAGGTGTTCCTCCCGCTAAACCAGCTTGTTCCACCTCCACTCCCTTTTCACTTCCTCACTGCCTTCGGGTCTCACCTCGTCTCCACCTCACCTATTTCCGAGCAGGCACTTGGGACCGCCTCCATGCCCCTTGCTTTTGCATCATCAGTTTAACGTCTGTATATCTTCAAAAGAAGCTCACTGTCCCCCTTGCCACAGGCTTTCCTCTCCCTCTCCTCCTGGAGCACTTCTGCATTTACAGCTCCAAGTGTCGAATGCAAAGCTGCTCTCCATTCTATGTTCCCATCACTTCCAACTCTGGATTATAAATTCCTACGTATTTGCATCTTGCACAGAGATACATAAAAAAGGGTTCTACCTGAATGTCACCTTGCTTACCTAACTTCTGACAGTGAGCCAGAGGTCTTAACGTTGTTCAGGTTAAGCTTTTGGGGTCCGGTGTAATAAGATGTAAACCGGCGAAGGCAGTTTTTGAGGTACAGTGTCTTACCCAACTGGTTTTTAACTTGAGATGAGTTGATTGGAAGAAATCCTGGAGGAGCAAGAGCAAGGTTTGTGGGTTTTCCCCTTATATTTCCAATTCTTAACATCACTAACTTCTTTTCAGTAGTTAAAATAAAAGATGATGTGATTTCTTTATACGTAAACATGGAAACTTGTAAAGACATTTTCACCTATTTATATACACTGAGTGGCCAGATTATTATGATTTCTGAATGCATAATAACCTGGCCACTCAGTGTACTTCTCGTGAGTACCTCATTTATTTGATATCAAAGATACTATAAATCGTGCACCTGATCAGTTTTTCCCTTTTGCACTGGCTGATAGAAAGCTCAAGGCAAATAGGTGGTTGATCTCCAGCAAAAGTCTAGAATACTTTTGGTACCCATTTGAGATGCAAATACACTGAGTGGCCAGTGTATTCCGAGATCATAATAATCAGTCCACTCAGTGTATACGTATTGGAACAAATGAGTGATTTCATCAACAACCTTTAGCTCACTAACATCTAGGAAAGTTCAGGGTGAGTGTTTTGAAGTTGTATTTATATGAGAAGCAGTAGTTGTGTGAATAATATGTAAGTTGTTTTTAATATATCTGTTAGTCATATATTATTAATGTCTACATTAAAATGCATATTTTGTAACTATCATTGTCTCACCCCAGCTGTTTAAAAATTTTACCTCTTAAAGTTTTATTCCAAACTTTTAACTCTTGACCGAGATGGTTTTCTGAAATTAAGAAATGCAGCTTTCCTTTTTCCATCATTTTTCCTTTAAAAGAATTTATTTGCAACACCATAAAATTGCAAGTGTTTTAAAGAATATAGTTTATTGACTTTTAGAAAGGGAGAAGAGAGAAATCTATGTGAGAGCATAACATTGATCGGCTGCCGCCTGCTGCTACTGGGGGTCAAACCCCCAACCCGGCCTTGTGCCCTGACCTGGAATTGAACCAGCAGCCTCTTGGTGTATGGGACTGAGCCACAATGGCCTGGGCGACAGTGGTTTTAGGAATGTATTATACAACAGGTCCTCAAATAATGTCATTCTGTTCAGTATCGTTCGTTGTAACGTTAATGAGATGCCATGGGACCTTATCATTGACATTAAGTGAGGACTTAACCTTATATGAAAGGGAAGCAAAAGCTAGAAGCCGTGGAATTTCTCACTTGAGATTCCAGCTGTTTCTGAGGAAACTTCCATTCTTTGATACAGTGTGTTCTGTTTTAAACAGGGACCTGGGATGTGAGCCTATCAGAAACTCGAGATGAAGATGTGTCTCAAGAAACAGTAGCAAGTGGAAAACTTAAAAAGTCCCTAAAACAGTCTATGAATGTAGGCTTGTCAGAAGCCCCAAATGGAGATGCATGTAAAGACACAGTGGGAGGTGGAAAGGTTAAAAAGTCCCTAAAGCCGTCTATGAATAAGGGCCTGTCAGCAGCCCAAAATGGAGATATATCTAAAGGAACAGTGAAAGATGTAAAAGTTAAAAAATCCCCCAAGAAATCTACCATGTTAACCAACGGGGAAGCAGCAGTGCAGCCTCCCAACTCAGAATCTAAGAAGAAGAAGAAGAAGAAAAAAAGAAAAATGGTGGATGATGCTGGGCCTGGTAAGTTCTTCATTTTCCATTTAAACTGTTTTCCACTAGTTATCATTTTTTCTTTATTATTGTGCCACATGACATGCAAGAACCACTGATACTTACTAGTTTCCAGAAACTACCCTAGGAGCTCAAGGAAACGAAGTGGGTGTGCGGGGGCCTTACACATTAACTTCTCTCAAAATATTTGTGATGCCTTTACATTCCCTAACCACCTTGAGACCTCACTTAGAGAAGAATCTCCTTAGATATCTAGACATTTGCTCCTCTGCTAGCTGATAAACAGAACATACCATGGCACATACTTTAGTGTTACCTGCTTGCAAACAGCTGTGGAATTACTGGTCCTAATATCTGACGGGTAGTAGAATCTACTTTTCTGGCCTTTGCATGAATGAGTTCTTTTCACTTCCTCTTTTTTACCAATTCCTTTTCCTACCATAAATTCCTCCCTTCTGAAAAGAAGAGTTAGTGATAATTTGGATGTGCAAAGTATACAAAATAGCAGGAAACTTCTGACTAAATGGAACATGAACTCCCAAGTGAGGATAAGGACCAGGGCAGTTTTGTGTTGTGTTGTGTTGTGTTGTGTTGTGTTGTGGGGAAGTGCCGTTTTCTTTGGGAGACGATTGGTTGTGAGGAAGCTTACGGAGCGGTGTTTCATGGCGATGTGAGCTGGCTGAGGTTTCAAGGGAGGATAGAAGCACAGCTCTTAGCCTCCTGCCGGTCTGAGAAAGGCTTTACTGGATGGGATGCTGCAGTACCTCCTTGTTCACTTGGTCTTCGTGGTGACAGAGACCATGTGGCCTGCAAAACCTAAAACATTACTGGCTGGCCCTTTAAGAAAAAGTTTTGCCACCACCTTGGTTAGATTCTATACTATTTGTCTTGTCTGAAATAAAGCTTTCATTTGAGCGTTTCTAAATGGCACAGCTGTCTTCATGCTGCCTACAGACTAGCACATTTGTAGGTTATGAGAAATTGCTTAGAAAGTGAAACCAGATAGAGAAAAGCATGAATGTAAGACATTACAGTGACTAATATGATTCTAAAATCATCTGCTTCTTTAGGATTGTTTTTCTAAGTTGCCTAAGGAAGCGATTTATTTTTCTTCTCAAGCACTGAATTGCAGGGCTGGGGGTTTTAACCGATGGGTAATCTTTAAGAACTGTCATGAGGAAAGAGAAGTCATCAGTCATGAAGACCGGCTGGTGACATCCATGGCGTTTGAACGTGTGGCTCCTGCAGAGGCGGCCATTCCACAGGCTCAGGAAGAGGCCAGGCCTGGGCTGCCGGAGCCCGGAGTTCTGGTCTGGGGCCTTCTGCTCTAACTGACATCGCGAACCACCATAAGCTGACAGCGTGGTAGCTAACCCACTGACCAGAGGAACATGAGAGAACATGGTGGGAGCGGGAGTAGAGAAGTGAAAGCCAGAGGCCTTCCTTTCGGCCCCTCACCACTTACGTTCAAGGACGGCCAGTGTCTCACCCAGCTGAGTGGGTGGTTGCCCTGTTTGTAGTCTTCCTCAGTGACATGAAGAGCCTTTGGTACTTCTGTTCATCTTCACACAAAATTAGCTTTTAACTAATTTTCAGAAAACTGAAACCTCAGTAAAGTATATAGAGCTTGGTGTAATTAGAATACTTAAAATTGTTTGGTTAGACTTTGTAAAAGCTTATTACTGAAGATGGTATAGTACATTAAGAATCCTAAAATACAAAGTTTTGTTGGCAAATCTGTACATCCCCCTGGGCTTATAAATAAATATAATCAAATCTTTATGAAAGAGACATTCTTAGCAAATTAACGCTGGAAATGTGTTGAGCTTTTGAAGATAGACCTTTTTGTGTCACACATCTTTTATTTTGTGATCTTGTTTGGTATTTTTATTTGAAGAAAAAAATATGGGTTTTGTTCTTTAAAACCAAAGGTACCAAAAAAGCAAAAACAGAAGACAAAGTGGAAGCAGAGGAAGGTGCCCAGACCCCTGAAGCTACCAAGAACAGTGTGGAGGAGCCAGGCGACCGAGAGGAGGAGAGCGAGGTGCCCAGCCTGCCCCTGGGACTGACAGGTAACCCAGCAAGTTCCCAGATCTTTAAAATGCCGCACCTCCAGATAATAGGTTTGACTTGTACCTGGAAGAAGAAAATACTGACAAGAAATGGTTAATATCTGAAGAGCAGCTTCTGTCTTCCATATTGTGCCTTAGTTTTTGTCCTTCCTCTAGTCTTTCCTTTATTCCTGACAGTATTTTAATGATGCAAACCAACAGCCTCTGGGGTCCTTTGTTCCTTTGGTTTATCGTTTTTTAAAGTTCACTCCATGTTGTAGGGAGAACACCGTTGGCCCAGAAGTCTGGAGACCAGAGGGTGAATACTGGCTTAGTTAATAAGAAGGAATGGGAGGAAGGAATTAACATCAAAGAACTTGTGTCAGGTTAACCCCTTTTGGCCCTTGTTTCTTTATCTGTAAAGTCAAGAGTTTAGAGTAGAATTAGTTGCTCCCAACCAGAAATGTCTAGAAGTCACTTGAGTTGTTTGGTTTGGATTTTCTGTTAAAATACTCAGGCCCAACCTCAGACCTGCCTGATCAGAATTGCAAAGATGGCAGCATTCTCATCCAGGGCAATTTTGTCTCCCAGATGGGGTGACCAGCTCATCCTGGTTTGCTCAGAACATGACCAGTGTTAGCTTTGAAAGTCCAGCATCATAAACCTCCTCTATCCCAGGAAAATCGTGAGGGTTGGCCTCCAACATTTTTGTTGTCAGAACTGGGGCAGGCTACTGGCATCCCCTGGGTAGAGGTCAGGGATCTGCAGGACATCCTGTGTACAAAGGACAGCCTCTCACGACAGAATTCTCCAGCCCAAGGTGTCGGTCGTGCCAAGGTTGACAGTACCTGAGGTTAGCCAGGCCGCGTAGGAGTAGGGGCTCCTGGGGTGGGGGGGTCAAGGGTGGCAAGGGCATTGGTGCTCCCCTGCTGAAGGACGCACACCCGATACGAGGTCCCGCTCACAGTCCGCCTGTGTCTGACTCAGTTGTCGTTTGGGAGTAAGATTTACCACTCTTGTTTTACTTCACTTTTGGCTTTTATTATCCTCAACTAGAGTCCTGGTGCACAAAACTTGTGCACGGGTGGGGGAGGGGGGTGTCCCTCATCCCAGCCTGCAGTGACGCGAGCATGCAAGCATTCTGCGCCGGCCTGGCCAGAGGCCCTCCGAGGCTGGGCACGGACTGCTTGCCTCATTGTCGGGGCAACAATGCAAGTGTCCCTCCCACCCTCCAGCCGCTCAGTGCCCACTGCCCAGAAGCCCTCTGTGACCCCGCTGTCAGTGTCCGTTTACCCTCACCCCCACCCCCAGGACTGGGGGACTCTGGGGGGCTGAGAGGACTGGGTGCCGCCATAATTGTGATGGGGTGATGGTCAATTTGCATATTCCCTCTTTATTAGATAGGATGTTTCCACTTTTTATTTCAGATTTCTTAAACGTTTTATTTCTCTGCACTCCTGTCCCCAACCCCACCCATGACATTTTAATTTCCTTTAATTTAAATCCCTTGGTTGTACTTTCTCTCTCCCCTTACTATTTTGTTACATTAGGGGCCATCAGCAGAGGAGACGTCTTAAAAGTGTAGGGTCTTTTTTCTTAGTATTTCATGGGAATGGTTGGGATTTAGCCTTAGTGAAAGAAGCTCTAATAAGTTTGACGGCAACCCAGTAATACTTACAATCAGCAAAACTAATTTAGACAGTCTAGCTGAATTAGCCAATAAAAAATGGCAAATTTGCTAATGATACACTGTCTTTCATTTAGGAGCTTTTGAGGACACTTCATTTGCTTCTCTTTCTGATCTTGTCAATGAGAACACTCTGCGGGCAATAAAAGAAATGGGCTTCACAAACATGACTGAAATCCAGCATAAAAGTGTCCGACCACTTCTGGAAGGCAGGTATGATTAAATGGATGTTTGGCCATTAGAATCTATTTGTAGTGCTAGGTGTTTGCCAGGAAAGTTTATGCCCGGGAGCTACCAGTGTGTTTTTTTGATTTGCATTGTGTTAGTTTACATATCCAACCTGCATTAAAAGCTTTAAATTACTTCCTGGAGTTTGAAGATGTTCACTTCTGTTTCCTGGCACGAGTCTCACCTCTGAGTTAGGTGTTTTACTCAGGTGGTTGAATTCAGTGATAAAAAAAAAAAAAAGGAGGAACTTTGTCTTTCTTGATCCTGTTCCAGCCTTGGAGCCTGAAACACCTGTGATTCAGCATGCTGGCTGTTCTGTAAGTACCTGCTGAATGAGTACCCTGATGTCTCCTCCTTCCCCCTTTTACCACTTAGGGATCTTCTGGCAGCTGCAAAAACTGGCAGTGGCAAAACCCTGGCCTTTCTCATCCCTGCAGTTGAACTCATTGTTAAGTTAAAGTTCATGCCCAGGAATGGTAAGCCTTTGGTCCGGTTGTTTCTGCCATTGTCTCACTAGAAGTTCATTGCGGCTTTTATGAACTCGTGATAATTAATTTGACTTTTTCCATATTCTTTTTTTTGCTTTTTAGGAACAGGAGTTCTTATTCTGTCCCCTACCAGGGAACTGGCCATGCAGACTTTCGGTGTTCTGAAAGAGCTGATGACACACCACGTGCACACATACGGGCTGATAATGGGCGGCAGCAACAGGGCTGCTGAGGCACAGAAGCTTGCCAACGGGATCAACATCATTGTGGCCACACCAGGCCGTCTCCTGGACCATATGCAGGTGAGAGAGCACTTGTGTACTGTCCCATTGTCTTGTGTCAGACAAACTTGGCAGCTAACAGTGTTTCTTTGTCCTTTGTCTTGTTAGAATACTCCAGGGTTTATGTATAAAAACCTGCAGTGTCTGGTTATTGATGAGGCTGATCGTATCTTGGATGTTGGGTTTGAAGAGGAATTAAAGCAAATTATTAAACTTCTACCAAGTAAGTGGTATCTATATGTGGTTTGCAAAGTGGTGGTTAGAAGCACATGAGAGTTGTTCTTATATGAAAACTGTTAATACCAGAATTTCAACACATTGCGACGGATCATGAGAATTCTCGCATTGCATTACACAGTTTTACAAAGTATCATACTTTAAAAACATCATCTTGGCCAAAACCAGTTTGCCTCAGTGGTAGAGCATCGGTCTGCGGACTGAAGGGTCCCGGGTTCGATTCCGGTCAGGGGCATGTACATTGGTTGCGGGCACATTCCTGGTAAAGGGGGGGGGGGGTACAAGAGGCAGCTGGTTGATGTTTCTCTCTCATCGACGTTTCTAACTCTCTATCCCTCTCTCTCTCTCTCCCTCTCTGTAAAAAATTAATAAAGTATTTAAAAATAAAAATAAAAACATCTTGTAAGAACATATAATAACTTCAAAATGCAATGGGTACTTAATTTTAAAGTGTGCCTTTAAAATTTATGTAAAACGTTTTTTGTACTCATTCAGTAGAAACTTACCTGGCCACTGGGTAAAGCTAGCAGTAAAACTATTGGTCCCATCTTGGCTGGATTGGCTCGGTAGATAGAGCGTCAGCCTGCGGACTTGGGAGTCCCGGGTTCGATTCCAGTCAGGGGTACATGCCCAGGTTGAGGGCTCCATCCCCAGTGGGAGGCGTACAGGGGGCAGCCAATTTTCTATTATCATTAATATTTCTATCTCCCTCTCCCTTTCTCTCTGAAATCAATAAAAAAAAATTTTTTAAAAAAAACTACTTGTCTATAATGTGTTAGTATAGCCACATGAAGTCGTAGAGGTAGTTTGCAATATAAACATCAAACTTATTAGTAACTTAATGCATTGGTTTTGCCAAGTTAGAGGTTTAATGCAAGTGAAACAGTCCAAACATGTCTCATTCCCTTTCGTCCCACCACCCTCGCCTTTTCTTCATCCGGCACCTCCCAGGCAGCCGTAGACTTGTTGCCTTCTGTGGGATGTGAGTTGTACATACCTTGGTTATAGTATTTGTAACATTATAAGCTGCTTACATCTGTAATAAGGCCATGATTCCATTCATTATACAATTTGTTTTTTAATGTTTTACTGAGATATAATTGACATGATCTATACATATTTTAAATACCGTTTGATAAATTTTTCCATTTCACCCATGAAACCATTATCACATCAGTATAATAAACATCTCCATAACCCTCTAAAGTGCGTTCATGCACCTTTGTACTCCCTCTCAGCCTCTGTAGGAGCAACCTCGCCTACTACCAACAGCCGCTCACACACCTCTCTCCCAGGCAACTGTTGGTCAGCCTTCTGTCACTGTAGATGAGTTTGTATTTTCTAGAGATTTATGAAGTTGCTACAAACATTCTACAGCTTTTTTATGTTTTCTTTCTCTTGTATAACTACTGAGGAGTGGAGTGACTAGTATATTTAACTTGTACCATTTTATATTTCTTTCCTTCAGCAGCATACAGAAGTTCCACTTCTACCTATTAAGTCTTGGGATTAACTTCTCACTGGTCTTTTTCAAAATTGCTCTGGCTGTTCTCCTTTGCATTTCTGAATGTTAGAATTAGTTTGTCAGTTTCTGCTCCCTAAAAATACCTGGTTGGTTGAGATTTTATTGAATGCTAGAGGTCCAGTGCATGAAATTCATGCGTGGGTAGGGTCCCTAGCAGCTGCCAGCCAGGACCTCCCTTCCCCCGGCTGCCTGCCGCCCCCGCCAGCCAGGGGGAAGCCAACATCCACCATGCTCTGCACCACCCCTGGTGGTCAGCACATGTCTAACTCCTGGTTGGTCAAACTCCCGCCTGTGGGGACAGTTTGCATATTAGCCTTTTATTATATAGGACTAGACGCTCAGCGTACAAAATTGTGCACGGGCAGGGTCCCTAGGCCTAACCTGCTATCAGACCCATCTTCCACCTGCTCACCAATCCTGGGTCCTGCCCCACCAGCCAGCTAGTTCCCATCACTGGCCCTGGGTCCCACCCTGCTGCCATCACCAGCCACCATGTTCCCCTCACCCAGTTCCCCTCGCCAGTCCTCATCTCGCCCCACTGCTGCCACCAGCCAGCTGGTTCCCCTCACCGGCCTTGGGTCCTATCCCACTGCCACCTCCAGCCACGCGGTTTCCCTCGCTGGCCCCAGGTCCTGCCCTGCTGCCATCACCAGCCATCCAGTTCCCCTCACCCATTTCCCCTCGCCAGCCTCCCACCTTATAGCGACTGGTCAAGCGGTTATTCCCGCCATTATACTTATTGTCGCTAGCCTTTTATTATATGTTACATTGGTAAAAGGCAACAGTGAGTCAGTTCAATCTACGAATAAGGTATATCTCCATTTATTAGCTCCTTAATTTCTAAGTACTTAATTAAAATCCCTATTTCAAATTGTTTATTTTATGTACATATATGGTTGATTTTTATATACCCATTTATGTTTGGCAAATAATTATTTCTTTGTTCATTTGGATTTTCCACATAGGTAGTCATGTCATCTACAAATAAAAAAAGTAGATAAATTCTTCACTTAATATTTTTGTTGCCTGATTGCACTGGTGAGAACCTCCAGTACAATACAGAATAGAAGTAGTGAGATAAGATTTTTCTAATGCCCCTTATCAGATTGAGGATGATCCCTTCTGTTCTCATTTGCTTAGATTTTTTTAAAATCAGAAATAGATGGTGAATTTTGTCAAAAGCTTTTTCTGTACCTTTTGAAATGATCCATTTTTTTCCTTTAATTCGTTAATATGGTATGCTGTATTGGTTAATTACCCAATGTTGAAGCAACCAGCCCTGCACTTACAGAATAAACCCTACTTAGCCATGCCTTATCCTTTTTTATATACTGCTGGATTCGCTTTGCTAAAGTTTGTTTAGAAATTTTGCATTTCTGCTTATGAGTCGTTGGGTTTGGATATTGGGGTAATGGCCGGCTTCAAGAATAAGCTGGGAAGTGAGTTCTCTATTGTCCTGGAGAATTAGTGAAGAATCCATAATATTTCTTCCATAATAGTCTGCTAGAACTCACCACTGGGGGTGTTGGGGCTGTAGTTTTCTTTACATGAAGATTTTAAGTACAATTTTTTAAATAATTACAGGCTAGTCAAGTTTTCTATTTCTTCTTGAGTGAGCTTTAGCAATTTGTCTTTCAATCAAGGAAATTGTCCATTTCATCTGAGTTGTCAAATTTATGAACATGATGTTGTTACTGATATTCCCTTAATCTCTGAAGTGTTACCATGTCTCCCATTCCTGATAGTTCTGCTATCGTTTGTAGTTGTGAAGCAGTTCTAAGGATTCCCTGAAAGGTTCGGATTATTCTTACGTGTATGTGTTTCAGTACGCAGACAGACCATGCTCTTTTCTGCCACACAAACTCGTAGAGTTGAAGACCTGGCGAGGATTTCTCTGAAAAAGGAGCCGTTGTATGTTGGTGTCGATGATGATAAAACTAACGCAACAGTGGATGGTCTTGAGCAGGTATTATTGTCAGTACCTTCTGTGTTAAGTGTGGGTACGTATGTGTCCTTGGAGTATCCTCCAAAAAGTGGTGGGTTCTTGAACTTTCAATTAAAATATAATGAACTTTGATATTGGATCTCTGGCTTTTCCAACATAATGTCACTTGAACTAATAACTTAATTAGCTTTCTTTACTGTCTCCTAATACCACTACCACAGGAAGCATCATTAACCACTATTTAAAAGCTCTGAGTTAGAAGGTGGAGGAGAGACTGGTTTCAGGCACATAGCTGTGGGAAATTAGAAATGAGGTGACAGAGACCTAAACTAGATCGATTAAAGATGGGACCTGAAGCCCTAGCCGGTTTGGCTCCGAGAATAGAGTGTCAGGCTGTGGACTAAATAGTCCCAGGTTTGATTCTGGTCAAGGGCACATGTCCAGTTTGTGGGCTCGATCCCTAATAGGGGCATGCAGGAGGCAACCAATCAGTGATTCTCATCATTGATGGTTCTCTCTCCCCTTTCCTCTAGGAAATCAATTTTAAAATATTTTTTAAAAATTGGGCTTGAAGATCGAGTCTTTTGGAGAATGAAATATTTTCTGTAACAATTCAGCTTAAAAACCTTTCATTGGTGTTTTGTTTGTTTTTTAAATATATTCACCCAGCTTTGTGCTCTTGTTTTGGACTATGTTTGTAAGCTGTGATTATTTGAGATGTTGCTGCTTAAGAGCTTTCAGAAATTAATTATTGATATATCTTGAGAGTTCCCATTAGTAGTTGAGATATTAATATGTTATGGTTGCAAGAACTGTTGATAACCAATAATCTCAGAAATAATTAAAAGAATTTAATGCCCAATGGATACAGCCTGTTAAAGGAATCTAAAGAGCTTAAATTCGTCTTATGTTAGGGATGCTGTGTTACAATGGCAGGAATTCTACTGTAGAGAAAGCACAGCAGAGTGTGTGCAGTGTGCCAGCCATCATATTGGCTCATGCAGCTGCAAATGTCCCTTTGGTAATTTCGTGTCTGTTCGTTTGAACTGCTTCTAGGGATATGTTGTTTGTCCTTCCGAAAAAAGATTCCTCCTGCTTTTCACATTCCTCAAGAAGAACCGGAAGAAGAAACTCATGGTCTTCTTCTCGTCTTGTATGTCCGTGAAATACCACTATGAGCTGCTCAACTACATCGATTTGCCTGTCTTGGCCATTCATGTGAGTGAAGTTCATTAAAGTTAGGTTGTGCTGCCTTAGCCAGTTTGGCTCAGAGCATCAGTCTGGAGACCAAAGGGTCCCAGGTTCAATTCCAGTCAAGAGCACGTGCCTCAGTTGCAGGCTTCTCCTCAGCCAGGCCTTAGTCAGGGCCAGTGCAGGAGGCAATCAATTGATGTGTTTCCCTTAACATCGATGTTTCTGTCTTCCCTTCTGTCTTCCACTCTCTCTAAAAATCAGTGGGAAAATATCCTCGGGTGAGGATTAACAACAACAACGAAAAAAAAAAAACAAAAACAGGTTGTATTTACCCAGGTGTATAGACTGGGTTTGAGGTCTGACTCTATAGTCAGTCAACATTGGTGAGTGGTCCTATGTGTGTCGGGGGGGGGGAGGTAGTTTTGCTGGGTTTGAGGAATGAGAACCACAAGGAATAAGAGACACCCTCGACTGGGGAAACAGGACCCAGGCCAGGGAGTGAACTTGAAGTAAAGCAGGTTCACAGCTCTACAGTTCAGGGGTTCGACATCTGAACCTCCCAACAGCTTCATGTTTCCAGCTCTAACGGATATTTTTATTTGATTCTAGGGAAGGCAGAAGCAAAATAAGCGTACCACCACATTCTTCCAGTTCTGCAACGCAGATACAGGGATATTGTTGTGCACAGACGTGGCAGCTAGAGGGCTGGACATTCCTGAAGTCGACTGGATTGTTCAGTATGACCCTCCAGACGACCCCAAGGTAAGGGGCATCCTCGGGTGTCTCAGGATGGCTGTGCACATTGAAGAGCACTCTTGTTATGCATGTCGTGTTTCATTGCACATAAATGTGCAGTAGTTCTCAGATTTAGGAGAAAAAATAGTGTTTAGGGTTTTTCAGGACCCAAAGGCTGTGTAAGGAGATTTAAAAGGCATCAGTTTGGCTTAAGTTATGATTGTTATATGCTTGGGTTGATTTGCTAAGAATAGTAGGTCTCAGAAGGAAATAAAATTTGCTTATATATAAGACTGTAATACATGTAGTAAAACAAGTTTACTAAGTATTTTCAACAAACCTATAAAATAAAAGGGTAATATGTAAATTGATCCTAATGGCAGAACAACTAGTCGCTATGATGCACATTGACCACCAGGGGTCAGTGCACTCCCTCAGGGGGAGCTAGGCTCGGCCACAAGCTGGGCTGAGCACTGTGAGCGCGGTGGCAGCGGTGGGAGCCTCTCCTATTTCCTTGGCAGTGTTGAGGATGTCCGACTGCAGGGATTGGGCCTAAGCCAGCAGGTGGACATCCCCCAAGGGGTCCTGGACTGTAAGAGGGCGCAGGCTGGGCTGAGGGGAGCACCCCCAACCCCGAGTACACACATTTTCATGCACTGGGCTTCTAGTAGATTATATAGTTACTGGCATTTAAAAATTTTTCAGAAAGCCATTTTGAGGTCGAAGCACACTTATTGGTCATTTTATTAGACCATAGAGCTAATGTGAATTTCATGTCCAGCTTTCCTTTGGCCTCGGTCATTGTCCTGTTACCTCTTTGGGGATGGGACATGCAGAAGGAATTAACGGGGAGGGGCACCCTCTCATAAAGAGTGCTGACCTGCCCCCACCACCAGTCCCGGGAATGCAGGCTGCCACGGGTGCCTGTCAGGCTGTGTGAACTCGGGTGTTCTCTCTCCCAAAGGAATACATTCACCGTGTGGGAAGAACTGCCAGGGGCCTGAACGGAAGGGGGCATGCCTTGCTCATCTTGCGTCCTGAGGAGTTGGGTTTCCTTCGTTACTTGAAGCAATCCAAGGTAAAGGTCTCTGCTTGGGAAGTCTTAATTGGAACAGGTCCTGCCTGTGGAGCTGTTGGCCTGTGCAGGTGGCCTCGGTGTCCCAGGAGTCCTGAGTCATGGCAGTGCTCCTGGAACAGTTGTTACAGATGTTGAACAGATGAGGTTCTGTGGGGCTAGCCCAGGAAATGTGATCCGAAGGAACCACCCCTATGGCTTAATCCTTGAGTTCCACGTTGGTCAGCAATGCATCTGTGTCCTCGCCGCCTCTGCCAGGCCTGTGGCCTCTTTGAAGCCACCTCCCCTCCTGTTAAACCCCTCACACCTGAGCATCGCTCCTCCCGCTCCCCTCCCTGCAGTCTTCTCTGCATCTTTTTCTCAGGCATCTTTCCTGTTACGTAGTGGGGACCTCGTTCACTCCTGCCTCCTCCTCTTTCTCTTTTTTCTCCTCTTCTGTCCCTCATTCAGCTGGTTTGTCTTCAGTCTCTCCCTTGCAGTCAGCTCTTTACCAGCTCAAGTCTTTCACAAAGAAAAATAACTTCAACCCAAAACCCACTCTCCTACCCCTCCAGTCTGGCTGTTGCCTTTCCTCTGTCTGCAGTTTGAATCGTGGTTATATTTCCTCCATTTTTCCACTCACCCTGTGGTCCAGCCTATCCACCAAACCTGAATCCATTATAGCTCAGTGTCCTCCATTGCTGTGTCTGGTGAATGCTCACCGGGCCTGCTCGTCCCTGCATTTGCCACCTTGTCAGCTCCCGGCACAGTCTTGCCAGGTGGATTTTCCTCATTCCACATCTCAGCAAAGCTTTCCAGAATTACCACTAGATTTGGCACTTTTCTCTGGAATCCCTTTCCTGGTTCTTTAGACCGCCGCTGGCCTCAGCTAGCTGTGTCTGTTCTGGGAAGCCAGCCCGGACCTCCTCCGTGTCCCACAGCAGGCTGGGCAGCTGCGTCCTCCCGGCACCCAGCACAGGCCTGGCCCTCCTTCCACTTCAGTGACGGCACCGGAGGGCCCTCCTATGGGGGTTTGTGGTCCTCGTGACCTGGAGTCAGTCCCACACTCCGGTCAGAGGGTGTCATGAAGGGGCAGCTCCTGCATGGAGAGCGAGGGGTCCTCTAAGAGCTCCAGGCCTGTCTGGAGCGAGGGCTTCTTGACCATGCCTGTAAAACTCCTCACCTTCCCTCACTGTTTGTAGGGCTTTTCACTTTCTCTTCGTCTAAATTAGGGGTGTCGAACTCAATCAGAGAAGGGGCCAAAATCTAAAATCCAGCCTAAATCGCGGGCCGAATGGTTTACTGAACAGTCATAAACTGTCATTGTGATGGAAACGCAGCGGAGTGCAGTGATGACAGCGCGGTGCCGGCCACATTGCAAGGCCTGGCGGGACGGATTTGGCCCGCGGGCCTTGTGTTTGACACATGTGGAAACGATCCATCCTAGTTTACTAGTCTTCACGCTTTTGTTTTCTAGGTTCCATTAAGTGAATTTGAGTTCTCCTGGTCCAAGATTTCTGACATTCAGTCTCAGGTATGCTTCCTTCTGGCTGCCTCAGCCTCGTCCCAGCATTGCCTGCCTTTGCCGAGCTCCGCTGGCGGGCATTGCCTCCTTTATCCCTGAGAAGTGTGCTTCGTGGTCAGTCTGGTTTCTCTCTGTGCCAGTTACCACATGTCTGCTCTGCGTCGGCTCAGGCCAGGCCACACGGGAGCTTTGTACTTATTCTTACTGTGGCATGATTCTGCAAATATTGCAAAGCTTGGAACAAGTGTATTAGCACAAATGTTTTTGTAGGGTGGTTTTTCTGATATATACGAAATCTATTGTATTAAAAACAATGTTTCTTTCCATTTCAGCTTGAAAAATTGATTGAAAAGAACTACTTCCTGCATAAGTCAGCCCAGGAAGCATATAAGTCGTACATTCGAGCATATGATTCCCATTCTCTGAAACAAATCTTTAATGTAAATAACTTAAATTTGCCTCACGTTGCTCTGTCCTTTGGCTTCAAGGTGCCTCCCTTTGTTGATCTGAGTATCCTTTTCTTTGTTATGAATTGGTGCTGGAATCGTGGGACAAAAGCTTGCTCGGGGCATGTGGGCTTAGCGCTGGGTGGCTGGGTGTGCACTCTGGCTGGGAGAGGAGGCACGGTGCTCAGCCTGGTCACTGCATGTCAGGCAGGGATAGTGATGGGAGTAAGGATGACAGAAACATGACTCTTATGACTTAGCCTTTAGGAAAGTAAAAGGAATTTCACTGGCAGAGCCCGAGGGAGCTGTGCAGCCTGGGGAGCGGCCAGGGGGTGGCAGGGCTTGGGCTGCGGTACAGGTTTGGTCAGCTGTGTGAGGCCTGGAGGTTAGGATGCCCTGAAGCCAGAGAGAAGGCAGGACCTCTAAGGAGCTGCTATCCTTAGAGCTGTTTCGTACCAGGAAGTTGCAAGATCAGCAAAAGAAAAGAAAACTTAAGTGCCACTCAAAATAAAAGGCAAAGGGGTATCTCAGTTGCTTCTGTTGCAATTTATACTCACATTTTCATCAGAAGAAACAGCAGCTGAAGTGAGGCCTGTTCATAATGCTGTGACCTTGGCTCCTGAAGGAGAAAGCCGGATTTGGGCTGCATCCCCAGTGGGCGCTGAGTAAATGCCTGTACGTTTGGCATTTACTTAATTGCTTAAGCATTCCTGAGTCAGCCCCAGTGGAGGGGAAAGTCACTTGTTTTGACACAGGAAGTATATTTTGTGCTCCCTATAAACTTGCTGATTTACCTCTTTATTTCTTAAAGTAAATTGTCTTGAGTTTTATTGTGTGGAGGAAATAATGAATGATTAAGATACTGGACTTAAACTCATTCCCCTAATTTTAGTCCTCAGTCACAGGGCACTCCTGGTTTCCTGCAATGTGTTTCATAGGCTCCTGTTATGCGTTTGCATGTCATGGAGGGTGTGCTGCTGGGTGCCTGTGGAGATGTAAGGTGGGAGGTTACCTTTGTGTTGCTTGATTCCCTTAACATGCACTTCAGACGTGAACAGCAACGAAGGCAAGCTGAAGAAGAGAGGAGGCGGCGGTGGATTCGGCTACCAGAAGCCCAAGAAAGTGGAGAAGTCCAAAATCTTCAAGCACATTAGCAAGAAGCCTTCCGACGGCCGGCAGTTCTCCCACTGAAGACCGTCCCTCCGCCTTCGGGGCTTAGTCCTGAAGGAGGGGCTTTTCTTGCTCCAACAGGACTTTTTACTCTGGCATTGGGACTTATCTGACAAGAGTGTACATTGGCATGGATTACAAGCAGTGAGCACTTTCCAGCAAGTCTTGTTTATTTCGAGTTAAAAAACAAAAACAAGAGTTCATTTTTTCTTGATTTCCCAAGGACCACACAAAGGGTTTTTTTTTAATCTTTGTTGTGATTAAATGATTTTTTAAAGTTAAGCTGTTTTTTTTAATCTCATTTGTCATTGAGATTTAATTGTTTTAATTCTTTTTTGTACCTTCTGGTGTCTGAATATTTTTGCAATATGGATTGCTATAGCAACCTGCTGAAACGGGCAGGTCACCCAGTACACTGGAGGTGGTTTGGGGTGACAGTGCAAGGAAACTGGGTTGGTTGGTTGGTTGGTTGGTTGGTTCTTTCTTTTTTTCTTTCTTTCTTTCTTTGGCCTTAATGATAGTTCCTGATTTCTCCTGAAAGTGCTGTCGTGAACAAGGACAGAGCTTTTGAAGTACCTAAGATGCACCTTCAACTAAAGGTGGCATCGATTTTTAAATACGCCAGGCTTTAAAACAGCCTTTCCCCATTTTGTTTTAAGAGCAAGAAACATGAGGTGTGCTTTGAATAAAATGCTCCTGTTTGGAGTTGGAGGAGAGCTGAGGTTCCTGGCCGCCTCTACACCAACGTAGGTGTGGTAGTTTGCTGCTCTCCTTGTGATTAAAAGACCTTTTAAAACAAAAAGAGTAACGACACGCCTCTTTCAGGCTTGTTTCAGGTGGGGCTTGCTTGTTTGGGGTTAGTGAGCCCTTCCCACTCCGAACGCCTTAGCAGGTAAAACATCTTTTTGAGGAAAGAATTTGCTTCTTTCAGATCAATGAGCAGGGCTCAGAGAGAGCGGGAGTTGAGTCACGTGGTTTTCTGCTGTGGGAGCTTCTGATCTGTGTTTTATTTTTATCTCTACTGTGCTTCATGACTACAAATGGTTATTACCATTTAAAACCAAAGTGCTGGCATTGCTTTGCTGTTGTGCCATTGGTATTGTAGACTCTTGTGAGTTACAAGGACACTGAGAACATCAGATGGAGAGGAAACCGGCGGGTGGAGAGCGTTCCGGAGGGACCAGAAGCACTGGTCTGCTGGCCGATCACCGACACGTCCTGGCCTGTGCTGGGGCAGACCTGGATTGCTGGATCCTGACATTTAACAACTATTTCTCTATCCAATAACTTGTTTTTCTTTTTTGTTTCAGAAATTATCACGTTTCAAAAATATGTACAAAACAAAGGAAAGAATATTTAATCACTGAAAACAAATAAAGACTGAATATTTTGTTATATCCTTCCAGTGTTTTATATACATACTTCAAATGTTTTTATCAAGTGAAATTCTATACCCACTATTTGCGACCAACTTGTTTGATAACGTTATTTTCCCATGTCATTAAATAATTACATCAAGTTCGTGTTTCGTTTATTAAGGTGCTTTGTTAAACATGCTGTGTCTGCCAGGATTTGGGCCCTAGATACCTGCTTGTCCCAGACTGGTTACCTTATCTCGGTGTGTCTGAGAGAAGATAAAGATCGTTCTATCATAAAGATTGTTCCTGCTATAATAAAGTACCTTATTTCAGGTACTTACTAAGGTCTATGTGAGATTCTGCTGGCAGGATGGTTCAGGTTAGGGCACCCAGACTTGACTCTGCTGGCCAGGATTCAGACAGGGAGCCAGTGCTAGAATCAGACACAGGATCTGGGCAACACCTGCAAGACTTAACTGTGAGAGGAGAAGGCACCTCGGCTTCCTGTGAACATGCATCAAGGAAATCGTCCCAAAAGGGAAAAGAATCTGCTGAACAGCCGCCGGCCAGAGGCCCGGGAAGTACTGTGCAGGCCCTGGGACTTCATCCTGCCGCTGTTCTACAGACGCTGAGAGGACGTGAGGCTCTGGGTCAGAGCAAAGAACTTTATTCTGGACATGGGTGTAGCCAGATCTTCATGGATGCTGGTTCACCACATTTGATAAGTCTCATGGGGTACAGAAAGGGCCTGTGATGGCCTCTGCAGGCAGTGGGCTATGTTACAGGAGGGGGGAACATTGAGTGTGGGAGATTCAGCACTTCAGAGTAAAAGGAAGCAACGTTTGCCCTTAGCCCAGGGGAGAGGTACTCATCAAAATAATTTTTAAATATAAATACAATTTATAAAATATAAATATTTAATATATATATAAATAAAGTACCTCTCCTTCAGAGAGGGAGAGAGAAACATCAATGAGGAAAGAGAATCATTGATTGGCTTCCTCCTACACAGCCCCTACCGGAATCGAGCTCACAACTGCAACCTGGGCACATGCCCTGACCAGAATTGAACCTGTGACCTCCTGGTTCCTGGGCCAGTGCTCAACCGCTGAGCACACTGGCTGGGCCTTACTCAGCCTTCAAGGTGGCCTGCTGCAAACCCAGCTTTGAGAAATGGCCTGGGGAGGGAGCAGTCTGAACAATGGAGACAGGAGACCAGAATTGCTGAGACCAGCTCAGTCACAAGGCAAGTCTACAACCCTCTCATCTCTGTATCAGCTAAGGGGAATGATGCCTAACAAGGGTGTGGACAAGATCAGCTAAATAAAGTGAGTGACAGTGTTACACATATTTGAGAGATTAAAATGGTAAAAACAAGATCCATGTCAAAAGATCACAAGCGAACTGGATCCAAGGTTTAAGCTAGAAGTTCAAAAGCGTAGTGATAATCATCTATTAACACTAGTCAATCCTCTTTATCATAATCTGAGAGTTGTGATCGCCTTCCTTTTTAAAATGAGGAAACTGGGTCTCGAAAAGCCTAAGTTGCTCACAGCCTTGAACCTAATAACCAATATGACATGCAAACCGCACCCAAAGGGAGAACAGGCAGCAACAGAAAAAGTGTTGAGAGAAATCTGCAAACTAAAAAGTTGAAATCAGACAAGAAAAAAATGTAGATGGTTAGGAGCAAGGACGGGAATAAAAGCGTGCCACGCATCTGGCTGTTGCAATATGAACGCTTTTACATTTTTATATTTGCTCTCGTTATGGTGTTTATCCAATCAAATAAGGGAAAAACTATTGTGAAACCATTTCATAAGGCTAGTCATTTCCCTCTAAACTTTAGAGTCTAAAGGATTTCCCTTTAAACTTTATAGAGTCTAAAGGATTATCTTCTTCATGTCATTTTGCTCAAAACCACCCATGTTCCGTTTTCTCCAGAATCAAGTCCAAACCTCGGTCCTCAGCATTTCCCTGCATGTTGTCCTCCGGCTGCCTTGACCCCAGTGACTCACTCCTGCGGGTGCAGGCCTCCTTCCATCTCCAGTATCCATAGCCCCCCTACCCTTCAGAGTGTAAGGGCTGCTCTGCCCACAGCTTCCCCTGTTCTGTGGTCCCTGGATAGCTCACTGTTTCTGATGTTTCTATCAATCATTGACAATTACACCTGTATTTTTATTTTGGCTCCTTAGCATGTTGCTTTTTATGCCCCGTGAGTGTGCTATCAAGTCTGAGTGTGTAAGACCTGCCATACGCAGTATGCAGAAAGCACCTACCCTGAGATGGGTGAGGAAAGGAGAGTAAAGGAGAAGACACTCCTGGGGGGAGGGGGGGGGGAGGCAGATCCCCAAAGATTGCCCGAGTGCCAGGGGTGCTGCTCAAGTGGAGAAAGCCCCTCCACCTTCACGGGCAGCCCAGGGCCTTTCCAGAAACCCCCTCTCCCTGCTTGGCCCTGGAGGATGGCTGGTTAGCCAGAGATGGGTAAGATTCCTCAGGGAAGGAACAACCTAAGACAGGCACAGTCACAGAGGGGCCATCAGGAGAGAACTTGGGGATCAACAGAGGTGGGACACAGACCCTTACCAACCCCCCCTGCAACATGGCAGGCGCCTGAACCTTCTCCCCTTCTGAGGGAGGTCTCCTGCCCCCATGGCTGCTTCGCTCCCCATGCACAGCTCAAAGCGGGACCCAGGTAACAGACAGAGACTTGGCTGACAGCAGCTGCCCTCTCACTGCAACAAGACTTGTTTGAGAGGTCTCATACCCATGGTGTGGGCAAGTGGGTTTTTAATATCCAAGTCCAGCCTAGTAGCAGGAATGCTCAGGCCCTTCTCAAGAAGGGAAATAATCAATTCCACTAATACACACATGGTAAATAAGATTGTTGCTAGAGTGTTGAGTTTGACAGATGAATAGTAGCCAATTTCTCAGAGGAAATTAATGTGACTCATGGAAATAAATGAATATTCTAGAAAAACTGTACTGTTAAAGAGCTGTTCCTAAAGTGTTAACAAAAATTCTTATTGGAGCGTCCCATGGTAAAATTGTACAACATGTTATAAACCTGAAGTAGTCATAGTGCAGCGCAAATAATTTAAAATGTAAAAGCTATCAATACTACATTGTAAAATTTCCAAAAGTCTCCTATTATTTAAAGCAAAAAAGGGGGTGACATTGGGAGAATATCATGTAAGGAAAAATATCCTGAGAATAATTTACATCTAAAAAACTTGTACTTTAGAAAATAAACCTTCATTCAAATCGCTAATAGAAAGATACCCATGAAAATACACACATGGCAACAAAACAAGCCAGGGGGAAATTATTTGGGGTGGAAGTGGGGGGGGAGAATCCAAAATCAAATTTAAAGAAAATATCCCTTTATTAACTTTTGGTCGAGAATATGTCTGTATGTTTTCAGAAAAAAACTCCGAGACCATCTGGAATCCGGTAACAGAGAGGAATAGACAGAAGCGCTCAAGCCATGAAGACAGAAGAGATGGAAGATGCTGACGACGCCTGAGACAGCAGCTGTGGGTTGCTGAAGATGCCCAGGACCAAACCAGAGACCGGCGGACCTGCATTACCACCATTTGTCCACCAACCAGATCTGAAATATCATGGCTGGCATGTACTCATAAGGAACTGTTTGACATTGAAATTGGGACTCAGAAAGGAACTCACTAACGACTGATTCATTTGCCTCTCAGCATAACCATTATGGCTTTTCTCAGTTTAGGTTCTTACAAGGGTATTTCTCGGATCTAGAGGAAATAATGAACAACATAAACTGATGAACAAAAACAGACCCAGAGAAAGAGAAGCAGCGATCAGACTCTCAAACCTCAGAGGGAAAGTAGGGGAGGGTGGGGGTAAGGGGAAGAGATCAACCAAAGGACTTGTGTGCATCCATATGGGCCTAGCCAGTGGCCATGGACAACAGCAGGGTGGGGGCATATGTAGGGAGGGGTTTGGGATGGGAATAAGGACAATTACGTGAGACCATAATCAATAAAATAAATTAATTAATTTTAAAATAAAAAAGAAAGCCCCTCTCTGGGTGCCGCTCAGCCTCCGGCTGTTCCTGGTTGTCAGTGGGAAGGCCTGGGATGAAGACCTGAAAGACATACAGTCTGAACGTTAGCCCCGCCAGGGGGCGGTGGGGGATGGCGGGCAGGGCGAGGATGGCGGGAGGCTGCAAGCACTCGGCTCCCAGGCCTCGGCCTTACTGCCTGAAGCCGCTTCTTCAGCCTGGAGCCCGAGGTGCGCTCCTCCTGGCCCCAGAGCCCGCGCCGACAGAAGCGCTGCGAGAGGCGCAGGGGGAGCCGGTTAGGAGCTTCCTGAGTTACAGATCCCAGCGCCCCAGCCGCTGCTGCAGGCGAACGCCGGTTCCTGGAAAGCAGATCTCACGATGGCCCAGCCCTCCGAGGCGCCGCGGCGGTGGCGGCCAGGGTCCTGGGAGGCGGGGAGGCCGGGCGGCAGGGCTCAGACCTGGCTTCTCCCGGCAGCTTCTCCAGACACCCCACCCACCCCGGCCCGCACCCCCGGGGGGCGGTGGGAGCGCCCTCTAGCGTGGACAGCGGCTGCGTTGCGGGTTCCCAGCCTCAGGAACGTGCGGCCAGCCCTGCACCACGGAGGGCTGGGCCGCCCGCTGCGCCCCCCGCACTCAGCGCGCGGGCGGGGGCTCGGCGGGGCGGGGGAGCCGGGACCCTCCCGCGGCGTCTCTCCGGCGGGGCGTCCTGCCTGCCGCTCGGGGCGGGGCTGTGTGTCCCCGGGAAGGTCTGCCGGCGGCGGCTCCCCTCCCGCGGGGTCCGGGCGGGGGAGAGGCCGGGGGAAAGAGGCGCACGTGGGGCGCAGGAAGGTGGCCCCCAGCGCCCCGGAGCGCGGCGATGTGGGCACCTTCCCCAGGAAGCGCCCCCGAGGCTCACCCCGCACTGAGCACCGCACGGGAAGGGCCTTTGGCACTTGCACGGGCTGTGCTGACACGGTGTCTGGTCAGCGGAGCCCCAGCTTTTCCCCCCCGAAGAGAGTGACTGAGTCCGCGAATCCTGCTGCCGCCGCCCCCCTGGTCCCGGCGGGGCCTGGACACTTCTCTCGCGGACGAGTGGGTTCCTGCCCACATCCCCCACCTTTTCCGTCCCCGCCGCGTCCCAGGCC